TTAAGCATGGATTATTTTCAGTGTAGGAAATGATTGTAGTTCAGTTCTAGTTCAGTTCTAGTTCAGTTCTAGTTCAGTTCTAGTTCAGTTCTAGTTCAGTTCTAGTTCAGTTCTAGTTTTCAGTTCTAGTTCAGTTCTAGTTCAGTTCTAGTTCAGTTCTAGTTCAGTTCTAGTTCAGTTCTAGTTCAGTTCTAGTTCAGTTCTAGTTCAGTTCTAGTTCAGTTCTAGTTCAGTTCTAGTTCAGTTCTAGTTCAGTTTAGTTCAGTTCTAGTTCAGTTCTAGTTCAGTTCTAGTTCAGTTCTAGTTCAGTTCTAGTTCAGTTCTAGTTCAGTTCTAGTTCAGTTTTAGTTCAGTTCTAGTTCAGTTCTAGTTCAGTTCTAGTTCAGTTTCAGTTTCAGTTCTAGTTCAGTTCTAGTTCAGTTCTAGTTCAGTTCTAGTTCAGTTCTTTTTCTAGTTCAGTTCTAGTTCAGTTCTAGTTCAGTTCTAGTTCAGTTCTAGTTCAGTTCTAGTTCAGTTCTAGTTCAGTTCTAGTTCAGTTCTAGTTCAGTTCTAGTTCAGTTCTAGTTCAGTTCTAGTTCAGTTTAGTTCAGTTCTAGTTCAGTTCTAGTTCAGTTCTAGTTCAGTTCTAGTTCAGTTCTAGTTCAGTTCTAGTTCAGTTCTAGTTCAGTTCTAGTTCAGTTCTAGTTCAGTTCTAGTTCAGTTCTAGTTCAGTTCTAGTTCAGTTTTCTAGTTTTCAGTTTTCTAGTTCAGTTCTAGTTCAGTTCTAGTTCAGTTCTAGTTCAGTTCTAGTTCAGTTCTAGTTCAGTTCTAGTTCAGTTCTAGTTCAGTTCTAGTTTTCAGTTCTAGTTCAGTTTCTAGTTCAGTTCTAGTTCAGTTCTAGTTCAGTTCTAGTTCAGTTCTAGTTCAGTTTAGTTCAGTTCTAGTTCAGTTCTAGTTCAGTTCTAGTTCAGTTCTAGTTCAGTTCTAGTTCAGTTCTAGTTCAGTTCTAGTTCAGTTCTAGTTCAGTTCTAGTTCAGTTCTAGTTCAGTTCTAGTTCAGTTCTAGTTCAGTTCTAGTTCAGTTCTAGTTCAGTTCTAGTTCAGTTCTAGTTCAGTTCTAGTTCAGTTCTAGTTCAGTTCTAGTTCAGTTCTAGTTCAGTTCTAGTTCAGTTCTAGTTCAGTTCTAGTTCAGTTCTAGTTCAGTTCTAGTTCAGTTCTAGTTCAGTTCTAGTTCAGTTCTAGTTCAGTTCTAGTTCAGTTCTAGTTCAGTTCTAGTTCAGTTCTAGTTCAGTTCTAGTTCAGTTTCTAGTTCAGTTCTAGTTCAGTTCTAGTTCAGTTCTAGTTCAGTTCTAGTTCAGTTCTAGTTCAGTTCTAGTTCAGTTCTAGTTCAGTTCTAGTTCAGTTTCTAGTTCAGTTCTAGTTCAGTTCTAGTTCAGTTCTAGTTCAGTTCTAGTTCAGTTCTAGTTCAGTTCTAGTTCAGTTCTAGTTCAGTTCTAGTTCAGTTCTAGTTACTAGTTCAGTTCTAGTTCAGTTCTAGTTAGTCTAGTTCAGTTCTAGTTCAGTTCTAGTTCAGTAGATCAAATTCTTCTAAAGAGACCTAAATTTAAATGTGGATATTAACTGTTTGTAAATAACATTGTTCAGCTCTAGTCATATCTACCAGACCTAAAATTTAAATGGGAATATTAAATTTTGTAAATAACATTGTTTTGTAAATTTACTACAAAATTTACTTTTTCTTTAAGAAAAAAAAATTAAATTAGACTAAATATTTAAGAACATTTTATTTATATATTTAATAGTTACCACAGCGACATAATTTTTCTACTTTAAAATACTTTCTACAAAATTGTGTGTATGACTAAAATATGTTCCTTTTTGCTCACTTCATTCACTTTGTTTATCTCTTTTACAAAGTAGTGTTTATTTTACACTAGAGTACAACAAAATTGTTGAATAAAAAATAAAGGCAAAAAAATGTTATGTCTATGTTTGTAGGAATGAGTTTTAAATAGTTTTATACATTTCCCTAGAGTTACACACACACACAGAGAGCTGTCTGTCTCTCAATGTTTAAAACCCCAAGAAAAATAAATAGAATGTACGAGTGTGTGTGTGTGTTTGTGCGTGGAAACGGAAATATTCTGTTGTTTGCTGTTATTATTGTTGAGGTTCATCATAGTTTTAAAACAATGTAGTAGTACTACCAGCAATAACTACAACAAAAACAAAAATCTACCATAAAAACATTGCAAATATTTTGTGTTTTTTCACTACTTTTTTATATTGTTAAGAAGTCTTCGTCATCAAACTCTGTGTGCAAAATAGTGGCAGTTGTAGTCTTTTATACGGGCGTTTATATTGTTTTACAAAGTTGTTTTTGTTGTTGTTGACTTTGTTATTAACGTTTGTTTATTAAACAATTTTTCACTTCACAAGTTGTTCTTTGCTTTTTAAAGCTTGTTTATAGTCTGTACTTTTATTTTGTGTTAATATCTTGTTAGTTGTTTTAAGAGAGAGAGAGAGAGAGAGATAAAAAATTGAAAGCATTTTTTCAACTTTTATGAATTTTCCGGGTTTATATTGTTTTTATTTATTTCTTTTACAAAATTCAGTTAAACTGATTTAGAAATATTAAAGATTAATAAAATAATTTTGGTTCTAAACAAATTTGGAGATTTCTCTTTAAGAATTATTTACAAATATTCCTAAAAATGTTTAATAAAATTAAATATAGGTTTTTTAAAAGATCTTGTTTATAAGTTCCAAAGAATTTTTCTTAAATCTGATGTACATATATTAAGAAAACATATGAAAGTTTCAAAAAGTCTTTAAAAACTATGACAAATGTGTCACCCACGTTGACATCAATACCCGCTGAGAGTATGTAATGTAGACAAACTTGTTAAAACTTGTGCAACACTTTTTATTTACACAATTGTGCTCAACGACAACTCATACTACTTGAGACATATTCTCATACATAAGTAAATTTATATAAGTAGATGAATATAAAGTTTTACTTCATTTAAATCGTTTATTTTTTATATGCATTTGTATCTTTCATCATTTATTTAAGTTTTTCATATTTCTTTGTTTATGCTGTTTACATTGCTGCATAATTTGTTACCCGAAGCAAATAAGCAAAATTTACAGCTAAAGTAAAACTACATATTGACGTTACTTGTCATTGTTACTGTTAAATGTTAAATAGCAACATTTGCTTGTATGTCATGTTAAAAAAAACAAAAAGTACATATTTTTAAAATGTCAAAAAGCAAAAGAAGAATTTAGTCAGTTTAATAATTTTGTTTTATTTTTGTGATTCCTTTAAAATCATAATTATTTTCCATAATCTACTAGAACTGCACTAGGAACACGACTAGCTGTGAACAAGAACTGAACTAGAACTGAATTAGAACTGAACTAGAACTGAACTAGAACTGAACTAGAACTGAACTAGAACTGAACTAGAACTGAACTAGAACTGAACTAGAACTGAACTAGAACTGAACTAGAACTGAACTAGAACTGAACTAGAACTGAACTAGAACTGAACTAGAACTGAACTAGAACTGAAGCTAGAACTGAACTAGAACTGAACTAGAACTGAACTAGAACTGAACTAGAACTGACTAGAACTGAACTAGAACTGAACTAGAACTGAACTAGAACTGAACTAGAACTGAACTAGAACTGAACTAGAACTTAACTAGAACTGAACCAGAACTGAACTAGAACTATACTAGAACTATACTAGAACTGAACTAGAACTGTACTAGATCTGTACTAGAACTGAACTAGAACTGAACTAGAACTGAACTAGAACTAACTGAACTAGAACTGAACTAGAACTGAACTAGAACTGGACTAGAACTGAACTAGAACTGAACTAGACGAACTAGAACTGAACTAGAACTGAACTAGAACTGAACTAGAATGACTAGAACTGAACTAGAACTGAACTAGAACTGAACTGAACTAGAACTGACTAGAACTGAACTAGAACTGAACTAGAACTGAACTAGAACTGAACTAGAACTGAAACTAGAACTGAACTAGAACTGAACTAGAACTGAACTAGAACTGAACTAGAACTGAACTAGAACTAGAACTGAACTAGAACTGAACTAGAACTGAACTAGAACTGAACTAGAACTGAACTAGAACTGAACTACTAGAACTGAACTAGAACTGAACTAGAACTGAACTAGAACTGAACTAGAACTGAACTAGAACTGAACTAGAACTGAACTAGAACTGAACTAGAACTTAACTAGAACTGAACCAGAACTGAACTAGAACTGAAATATTTCCTTGTGTTATATGGTGCGCATACTTACTTTTTTAATGCTAATTTTACAAAATATTACTCATACACCCCGTTGTTTAATTTGGTGCAACTGAAAAAGTGATTATAATAAATTTTCGCCACAATTCTTTGTAAATGATTTAGAGAGAATAAATGTGGCCAAGTTTTTCAGTTGCAGCTGTCATATTATTTTAATTGTTGGGGTTTTTGGTTTTGTGGGAAAGAATTTTTGGGAACAGTAAAAAAAAAACACAAACTCTTTCACAAATTTCTACACAGAAAATAAAAACTAAAATATAAAAATTTTTTGAGACAAACATAGAGTACGTAAACAATTGAAAATAATCTAGCATTTTGTAATATTCAGGTTCTATATTGCCAGGAAATATGTAATTACAAATGGTATTTGCACAAAAATGTTGTGCTTCAATTATAATACAAAGATATTTAAATGACGTTTTTTCCTAAAGTTTTTGTTCTTGTTAGCAAATATTGATATAGCAACCCTTATCTATATAAAGTGTAATGACGTAATAAATCTTAATTTGTATGTTTTGTATTGATGTGCTTCCTTTCCTCTGTTTTCCTCTTTTTTTTCTATTTTCCTCTTTGCTTTTTGTATTATTAATTTGAATTTCATTATAAATAATCGTATTCTGTATTCCGTTTTATTATTTACACTTTTTAAACACACTTTTTTGTGCTTACAGGGTTCACTTTTAAATACCACCAGCTTTTTGCAGAATAACAACAAGAGCAAAAAATTGTAAGAAGGAAAAAATTAAACACCCACACCAAAATCACTTTAATATTTACGAATTTTGTGTTACAAATAGACATATAGATACAGTTTTGCATACACACAGACAAGTTTTGCTTACATTTGACAATTCTATATCAAAGGCATTGCCATCACCAGCACCACCACCACGAGCAACATCGTCATCACCAGCATCATCAGCAACACCACCACCAACATTGGCATCAGCAAAGTAGACACACACAACGCTAGAAACACCAAATACATCAGTTGCCACGGCTACATCGACTACAAGCACTAACCCCCAACAACATCAGTACTACCACTTCTACGACTATTTGAACACTGATTCACAACCCCCAATAGACTTCAGCAAGGACAAGAGATACAGAATAGAACAGCACCACACGGCACATTACAGCTCAGAGCTCAGCACAGCATAGAAACAAAATGAAACATTACCGCCACCATAATCAACTTGCAACAACAACATCAGTATGTACATTTATAGTGGTGGCATTGGCCTCAATGCTGTCAATGTTGCCACATTTAGCATACGGCACAACAGAAGTACAAGAGACACCATTAGCTCTGCCAGTTGGTGAACAAACACAGCCGACAACATCATCACAGGGTGAAATCTGGGAAGAAGATGATCATGAGATTTTAATACGCAATGAACGTGGCACAAAGAATGATGGTAAGTAAAAGCTCTCAAGTAACTAACAAACGTGTACATTGCACGACGAGAATCAACGTCAAGTTAAGTAAACGAGTGAATAAATAATATTTGTAAGTGAGTGTATCTGCCCGCATCAGCATATCAAATGTTCACTTTAGCTGTAGCAGTAGATACTAGTAGTAAATAGTCCTCTTATATTCCAAAAGCCAGTTACAGTCAATGTCTGTGGAAGTTTTTCATTTTTTTGAAGTGTATATTTAAATAGTATCTACAAAGTCTATTTGAGTATAAATGGATATATACTTATATATGTCGTGTAAGAGTTTTTTACAATAAAAGAATTGAATGAATATTTTACACAGACATCAACTTAAAAATGTCAAATGGAAAGGAATACTTTTAACATTTAAGTTTTACCAAAAGAATATATTATAATTAGAGAAAATAGTTAGGAGGAAGTGAATCTTAAGTATGATATTGTTAAGGAAATTTTACAATTTTAAGATAGTTTCAATTAATATTTCTAAAAAGACTGATGTATAGTTTCTAGATAGCGAGTAGCATTTTATATGCATTTTGTTTTGTTACAATAAAAATATACAAATAAAATTTTAACTTAAAGTGCTCGTACGTTATATAGAAACAGGACCCGAATCACTTAACAAATTTTTAAAATTTATGTAGAACTAGAAAACTAAACTGAACTAGAACTGAACTAGAACTGAACTAGAACTGAACTAGAACTGAACTAGAACTGAACTAGAACTGAACTAGAACTGAACTAGAACTGAACTAGAACTGAACTAGAACTGAACTAGAACTGAACTAGAACTGAACTAGAACTGAACTAGAACTGAACTAGAACTGAACTAGAACTGAACTAGAACTGAACTAGAACTGAACTAGAACTAGAACTGAACTAGAACTGAACTAGAACTAGAACTGAACTAGAACTGAACTAGAACTGAACTAGAACTGAACTAGAACTGAACTAGAACTGAACTAGAACTGAACTAGAACTGAACTAGAACTGAACTAGAACTGAACTAGAACTGAACTAGAACTGAACTAGAACTGAACTAGAACTGAACTAGAACTGAACTAGAACTGAACTAGAACTGAACTAGAACTGAACTAGAACTGAACTAGAACTGAACTAGAACTGAACTAGAACTGAACTAGAACTGAACTAGAACTGAACTAGAACTGAACTAGAACTGAACTAGAACTGAACTAGAACTGAACTAGAACTGAACTAGAACTGAACTAGAACTGAACTAGAACTGAACTAGAACTGAACTAGAACTGAACTAGAACTGAACTAGAACTGAACTAGAACTGAACTAGAACTGAACTAGAACTGAACTAGAACTGAACTAGAACTGAACTAGAAATGAACTAGAACTGAACTAGAAATGAACTAGAACTGAACTAGAACTGAACTAGAACTGAACTAGAACTGAACTAGAACTGAACTAGAACTGAACTAGAACTGAACTAGAACTGAACTAGAACTGAACTAGAACTGAACTAGAACTGAACTAGAACTGAACTAGAACTGAACTAGAACTGAACTAGAACTGAACTAGAACTGAACTAGAACTGAACTAGAACTGAACTAGAACTGAACTAGAACTGAACTAGAACTGAACTAGAACTGAACTAGAACTGAACTAGAACTGAACTAGAACTGAACTAGAACTGAACTAGAACTGAACTAGAACTGAACTAGAACTGAACTAGAACTGAACTAGAACTGAACTAGAACTGAACTAGAACTGAACTAGAACTGAACTAGAACTGAACTAGAACTGAACTAGAACTGAACTAGAACTGAACTAGAAACTGAACTAGAACTGAACTAGAACTGAACTAGAACTGAACTAGAACTGAACTAGAACTGAACTAGAACTGAACTAGAACTGAACTAGAACTGAACTAGAACTGAACTAGAACTGAACTAGAACTGAACTAGAACTGAACTAGAACTGAACTAGAACTGAACTAGAACTGAACTAGAACTGAACTAGAACTGAACTAGAACTGAACTAGAACTGAACTAGAACTGAACTAGAACTGAACTAGAACTGAACTAGAACTGAACTAGAACTGAACTAGAACTGAACTAGAACTGAACTAGAACTGAACTAGAACTGAACTAGAACTGAACTAGAACTGAACTAGAACTGAACTAGAACTGAACTAGAACTGAACTAGAACTGAACTAGAACTGAACTAGAACTGAACTAGAACTGAACTAGAACTGAACTAGAACTGAACTAGAACTGAACTAGAACTGAACTAGAACTGAACTAGAACTGAACTAGAACTGAACTAGAACTGAACTAGAACTGAACTAGAACTGAACTAGAACTGAACTAGAACTGAACTAGAACTGAACTAGAACTGAACTAGAACTGAACTAGAACTGAACTAGAACTGAACTAGAACTGCACTAGAACTGAAATAGAACTGAAATAGAACTGAACTAGAACTGAACTAGAACTGAACTAGAACTGAACTAGAACTGAACTAGAACTGAACTAGAACTGAACTAGAACTGAACTAGAACTGAACTAGAACTGAACTAGAACTGAACTAGAACTGAACTAGAACTGAACTAGAACTGAACTAGAACTGAACTAGAACTGAACTAGAACTGAATTAGAACTGAACTAGATCTGAACTAGAACTGAACTAGAACTGAACTAGAACTGAACTAGAACTGAACTAGAACTGAACTAGAACTGAACTAGAACTGAACTAGAACTGAACTAGAACTGAACTAGAACTGAACTAGAAGAACTGAACTAGAACTGAACTAGAACTGAACTAGAACTGAACTAGAACTGAACTAGAACTGAACTAGAACTGAACTAGAACTGAACTAGAACTGAACTAGAACTAAACTAGAACTGACCTAGAACTGAACTAGAACTGAACTAGAACTGAACTGGAACTGAACTAGAACTGAACTAGAACTGAACTAGAACTGAACTAGGACTGAACTAGAACTGAACTAGAACTGAACTAAAACTGAACTAGAACTGAACGTCATCCCAGACGTATAATTACTAAACTATATTAAATAAATAGTACTCATACGCACCATATACATAGGAATATGAAGACAACAACTTCTGAAAATTTCTTAAACTTTAATAAATTCATGATAAATTCAATGAATCTGTGGGGTTTTTGATAATTTAAAAACATCCCTTGTTGAATATGCAAATTTAAGTTAATTTCTTATACGAAATATTTCATTTAGTAATGGGTTCTTGTAATCTGCATCTGCCTATTTTAAAACAATAAAACAATTTTTTCTTACCTGCTATTCATTTATTAATATCTTGTAGTCTTTTGCAACATCTTTAAACCCCGCAAGCATTTTTTCAGCAGAGCTGTAAAAATCATAAAAAAGAAACAAAAAAGATTATTTACTTTATTTATCTCTTTTTTTTCATCTTCTAATTTATATTACACAAATAAAAATCCCTAACTAATCCTTCAACGAAATAAAAATCTAACTTTATCATTTTCTTGGCCACATTAAAAACACATCTATATAAAATTTATCATAAAATGTGTTGCTTCTTAATAATAAAAATACCAACCCAGTACCGCACAATACTCTAACAAAGTAACGCCAATGGCTATAATACTAAGCTACCAACAAAATATAATGAATCACATATTCAAAGACAAGGTTTAAAAGAAGGGAAATAAAAAAATAAAATAAAGCTTAACTATAAAATTGCCATAACAAAGCTAAAATAGTGACTGAAATGAAAAGAAAAATAACTTGTATAGAGAAAACAGACAACAGCAACAACAAAATAAACTCTAGGAGAAAAAAAATAAGATGTCTAAAGCGGAAATAGGAAATAGCCAACACATAAAAATCTCTGGCCCGTCTAAGCAGAGTGGAAAATAAGAGATAAATTGTATACAATAAACCTTAAAATCTACAATTTATAGCTGCTGCAAGGCAATAAAATGTATTAGGAAAATATTTAGTAGTTTAAACGTAGTAATGAAAATATAAACAATTTAAACGGAATTTAATAGCAATTATTTATTAACTTTAGTTAAAAGGCTTATTTAAAAAAGCACAAATAGAAGCAATACTTAAGTTTCTATTAAGAGTGAATAAGTTTATCGATTGATTTCTTATTTATTTTTTTAGGTTTGTCTTGTCGTTATGGAAAAAATCCCTGGACTGAATGTGACACTAAAACCAATACTCGTTCAAGAACGTTGACCCTTAAAAAGGGCGATCCAGCCTGTGATCAGACACGAACCATTCAAAAGAAATGCAAGAAAGGTAAGTGGGATTGGATTTTTTTTTTTAAAAATTACTTTTTTATAATTTATTTAAAGGAAATTTTAGTTAAAAATTTGTTCTTTAAAAAAATTTAGTTCGCAAAATTTTAAACAAGAATATTTTTGTCGAACATTATTTTGATAGATTTCTATTGCAAATGAATGTCGGAAAGTGTATGTCTACAAGCAAATGTTGGTCGGAAATTTTTCTGTAAAAAAATGTTGATTTGTTTGGTTTGTCATATAAGAAAATTTTGATTAAACTATTTATTCTATAAGATTTTGGTGTTCTGTCAGAACTGAACCAGAACTGAACTAGAACTGAACTAGAACTGAACTAGAACTGAACTAGAACTGAACTAGAACTGAACTAGAACTGAACTAGAACTGAACTAGAACTGAACTAGAACTGAACTAGAACTGAACTAGAACTGAACTAGAACTGAACTAGAACTGAACTAGAACTGAACTAGAACTGAACTAGAACTGAACTAGAACTGAACTAGAACTGAACTAGAACTGAACTAGAACTGAACTAGAACTGAACTAGAACTGAACTAGAACTGAACTAGAACTGAACTAGAACTGAACTAGAACTGAACTAGAACTGAACTAGAACTGAACTAGAACTGAACTAGACTGAACTAGAACTGAACTAGAACTGAACTAGAACTGAACTAGAACTGAACTAGAACTGAACTAGAACTGAACTAGAACTGAACTAGAACTGAACTAGAACTGAACTAGAACTGAACTAGAACTGAACTAGAACTGAACTAGAACTGAACTAGAACTGAACTAGAACTGAACTAGAACTGAACTAGAACTAGAACTGAACTAGAACTGAACTAGAACTGAACTAGAACTGAACTAGAACTGAACTAGAACTGAACTAGAACTGAACTAGAACTGAACTAGAACTGAACTAGAACTGAACTAGAACTGAACTAGAACTGAACTAGAACTGAACTAGAACTGAACTAGAACTGAACTAGAACTGAACTAGAACTGAACTAGAACTGAACTAGAACTGACTAGAACTGAACTAGAACTGAACTAGAACTGAACTAGAACTGAACTAGAACTGAACTAGAACTGAACTAGAACTGAACTAGAACTGAACTAGAACTGAACTAGAACTGAACTAGAACTGAACTAGAACTGAACTAGAACTGAACTAGAACTGAACTAGAACTGAACTAGAACTGAACTAGAACTGAACTAGAACTGAACTAGAACTGAACTAGAACTGAACTAGAACTGAACTAGAACTGAACTAGAACTGAACTAGAACTGAACTAGAACTGAACTAGAACTGAACTAGAACTGAACTAGAACTGAACTAGAACTGAACTAGAACTGAACTAGAACTGAACTAGAACTGAACTAGAACTGAACTAGAACGAACTAGAACTAGAACTGAACTAGAACTGAACTAGAACTGAACTAGAACTGAACTAGAACTGAACTAGAACTGAACTAGAACTGAACTAGAACTGAACTAGAACTGAACTAGAACTGAACTAGAACTGAACTAGAACTGAACTAGAACTGACTAGAACTGAACTAGAACTGAACTAGAACTGAACTAGAACTGAACTAGAACTGAACTAGAACTGAACTAGAACTGAACTAGAACTGAACTAGAACTGAACTAGAACTGAACTAGAACTGAACTAGAACTGAACTAGAACTGAACTAGAACTGAACTAGAACTGAACTAGAACTGAACTAGAACTGAACTAGAACTGAACTAGAACTGAACTAGAACTGAACTAGAACTGAACTAGAACTGAACTAGAACTGAACTAGAACTGAACTAGAACTGATCTAGAACTGAACTAGAACTGAACTAGAACTGAACCAGAACTGAACTAGAACTGAACTAGAACTGAACTAGAACTGAACTAGAACTGAACTAGAACTGAACTAGAACTGAACTAGAACTGAACTAGAACTGAACTAGAACTGAACTAGAACTGAACTAGAACTAAAAAAACGACTATTCATATTCTTCATTACTGAGTCATCCTAGACGTATAATTATTATATGTCTGTACTATATTAATTAAATAGTACTCATACGCACCATAGGTATATGAAAAGGATAAATTTGGTCCAAATTTGTCTATAAAAAATTAGGTGCAAAATTTATTCTATATAAATCTAAATCTTGGTCAGAAATGTATTTTAACAGAAAATGTTTTTCGAAAAATTTGTTCCATAAGAAAATTTTGTTGGATAGCTTTAATAAAAAGAGTTTCTAACAAAAATCCAAAAATGTCCTAGAAGGATGTCGCCAAAAAGTGTTCAAAATTATGTCAGAGAATATTTAAGAAAAGCTTACCTTTTCTTCTAAAATTTTCCGGATTTGTTTGTAAAAATATTTAGCACATTCAAATTTAGCTTTCTTTCTAACTATTTCACTATTTCTTCTCATTTAATTCGTTCTCTTTGTGAGGAAAACAATCTTGTCACAACCATTAAATTTTCTTTTTCATTTTAATTTTTCCTGTACACACATTTAATTATAAGTTTCTGTGCTGTTTATTATTTTTATAATTTTCTCCCATTTCTTATGCGACTGCAGCAATTCTTGTGTAAGAGTCATAATTATGCAAAATGGCATTCAAGAAGATTGTTATAGGTCGTTTCCGGCATATTTTTATGTTGCACTCAGAATGCATTTCAGTCTCATTTAGTTTTTTTCTTGTTTTTTTTTTTTTAATTCAATGTTATAAGTGCAGCTTCTGTTTGTCAGGGTAGAGTACAATTTTTTTTTTACTTTTCAATGGGTTGCATTTAGTAACAGCAGAACAATAAATATTTAAAATTAAAATTTTATTTTTTTTGTAATAAGAATAGAGCGGATGTAAATTGTCTCTTTCCAGCATCCTATTTAGAAATCATTTAATAATAAAAGTAATTTGTTTAAATGTTTTTAAACTTGATTTTAAATACATTACACTTACAATTAATTTCTGTAAAATTGTTTTGTATATTTCCAGTTTTTTTCTGAATTTATTTTCTGTAAATTACTTAACACTTTCATATTTTCAATTTTCTAAACTAAAAATTAAATCAAATTAAAACGTTTGAACAAAATTTATGAAAAATACTAGAGGTAGAAATGATAAAAATATTTTCGTCGAAATATTTCCTATGACAAAAATTTGGTCGAAAATTTGTTTATAATGCTGATCGAAAAATTTGCTATAAAAAATTTAGGTGGAAGACTGAACATAAGATTAGACTATAGGCAAGACTATAGACTAGAATATAGACTAGAATATAGACTCTTCTATAGACTAGACTATAGACTAGACTATAGACGAGACTATAGACTAGACTACAGACTAGACTATAGACTAGACTATAGACTAGACTGTAGACTAGACTATAGACTAGACTGTAGACTAGACTATAGACTAGACTATAGACAAAACTATAGACTAGACCATAGACTAGACTATAGACTAGACTATAGACTAGACTATATACTAGACTATAGACTAGACTATAGACTGGACTATAGACTAGACTATAGACTAGACTATAGAATAGACTATAGACTAGACTATAGACTAGACTATAGACTAGACTATAGACTAGACTATAGACTAGACTATAGACTAGACTATAGACTATACTATAGACTATACTATAGACAAGACTGTAGACTAGACTATAGGCTAGATTATAGACTAGAATATAGCCTAGACTATAGACTAGACTATAGACTAGACCATAGACTAGACTATAGACTAGACTATAGACTAGACTATAGACTAGACTATAGACTAGACAATAGACTAGACAATAGACTAGACTATAGACTAGACTAGACCAGACTATAGACTAGACCAGACTATAGACTAGACCAGACTATAGACTAGACCAAACAAGACAAGACTAGACTAGACTAGACTAGACTAGACCAGACTATAGACTAGACCAGACTATAGACTAGACTAGACTAGACTAGACTAGACTATAGACTAGACTATAGACTAGACTAGACTAGACTATAGAATAGACTATAGAATAGACTATAGACTAGACTATAGACTAGACTATAGACTAGACTATAGACTAGACTATAGACTAGACTATAGACTAGACTATAGACTAGACTAGAGACTAGACTATAGACTAGACTATAGACTAGGCTATAGACTAGACTATAGACTAGACTATAGACTAGACTATAGACTAGACTATAGACTAGACTATAGACTAGACTATAAAATAGACTATAGACTAGACTATAGACTAGACTATAGACTAGACTATAGACTAGACTATAGACTAGACTATAGACTAGACTATAGACTAGACTATAGACTAGACTATAGACTAGACTATAGACTAGACTATAGACTAGACTATAGATAGACTATAGACTAGACTATAGACTAGACTATAGACTAGACTATAGACTAGACTATAGACTAGAGTATAGACTAGACTATAGACTAGACTATAGACTAGACTATAGACTAGACTATAGACTAGACTATAGACTAGACTATAGACTAAACTATAGACTAAACTATAGACTTGACTATAGACTAGTCTATAGAAAAGGCGGAAGAAATTTTAATATGAAAAATGTAAGGCTATAATTTAAAGGCATAATTGTTATGTATACCCCTAATAAATACATAAATTTCTGCACCGTATATAAATTGCATTTTGTATAGAATTGTATTTAACAAAATAATACATGTTGTACAACTAAATACGTTTTAAAACGTGCTTTGATTTTTAAACATCTTCCGAATACAAATAGAACATTTTTAAAGCTCTTATAAAAAATGTATTATTTTAAACGTATTGAATATACAAGAATGATAAATTTAACAAATTTTAAAAATTTCGCAATTTCTCCAATGTTTTATTGAAATTAAATTTGATATCGTATATAAAATTCACCATCAATGGTTTTTAAAAAACAATATAATAACTTCAACATACAAAAATAGTTTCAAATTATTCTCAACCACAGCATATGTATGTATTGTATAGCGACCACAAGTATTTAGTCAAATAAATATAAAAATACATACCTACAAATAAGTGTAAACAAATTTTAATGTTTTTTTAGCAAAATAATTTGTTTCTAAATTCATAAAATACCACAACAAATGCATGACTGAATACCACAAAAACGATGAAAATACACACTGTAAGAAATTCTAATAAAGATATTTTTTCGCCTAAAATAAACTTTTTGTAAAAAACTTTTCGATAAAAATCATGACGAAAGAAATTTTCGTGTAGAAAATATTGCTGATAACGTTTCTATAACCATATTCAAATTCTAAACAAAAATAAATACATTTTTATGCATGACACAGTCCCCTTAAAAATAAACACACACACAAAAACCGTTAAAGTGTAATAGAACTATTCAAACGATATTCAAATTCCAAAAAATCTAACACCAAACTAATGGTAACATTGTAAAATTTAAATATGGAAGAACACATTGTTTTCAATTTGAATGGAAAAACACTAACAAGAGAAAAGTGGAGAATAAAACAGTTAAATTCTATGACTTTAAACAAAAATGGTGGTCGGTCAGATTACAGATGAAAAAAAATAAAAATAAAATTCGCATACCAAACAAATGTAAAAGGGATAAGAAAAAATATGTAAAAAAATATATATATTTATTTCCTTTTTTTGGGGGGTTTGATGGGTAGCTATCCTACAGCTGGCTGTGGCTTATCGCGTCTGAATATATTAACATAACAATTTATACCAAAAACATTTAGTATGACTTTTTAAAAGCAGATAGTTGACTGAATTTTTCTATCTGTTTGTATGCTTTGTTTTTTCTTTCGTTGCCTTCATTCTGCATGGTATGTTTAACTGAATATGACATGACATGCAAGTAGTAAAAAAAAAAGAGGAAAAATCTGATAAAAATTTATTCCCATGTGTCTGTTATGGCATTTAGTAAAGAACGAATGTAAATCCATGTGTTTTTCTTTTTTTATTTGCATTATATGTCTGTATGTATGACAGCCGTCTGTCTGTCTGGTTGTAGAATGTATAAAAAAACCATAAGGATAACTTTATCCTTTTTAATGTTTGCAGTCAGCCGTATTGAAAGTTTTTTGATAAGTTTTTAAAATGTTGTTAAATGCAAATTTACTTAAACGAATTTAGTAAAAAAAATTTAATTCAACTGCCAAAATACTTCTAAAAGTGGAAAAAAATTTAAGAATATTTACATAAAACATAATATTGAGATGTTTGAGTTATGTATTATAAAAGAATAATATTAAAATAGAAAGGATAATGAAAGCACTATACTTTATTTCTGAAGGTACTCTTGTATTTTGTTACAACTGTTAAAACTCTTGGCAAGAAAGATTTTCGTAAAAAAACTTGTCAAGCTTTTCGTTTAAAAATCAAGATAGACTACTGACTTGATAGTATGCGTCTAGACCATTGACTGCACAATCGACTAGACTATAGATAACATATGTATACTGTAGGCTGGAATAAAGACAGGACTATAAACTAGACATTTAACTAGGCTAGACTAGACTGTAGACTAGACTATAGACTAGACTATAGACTAGACTATAGACTAGACTATAGACTAGACTATAGACTATAGACTAGACCATAGACTAGACTATAGACTAGACTATAGACTAGACTATAGACTAGACTATAGACTAGACTATAGACTAGACCATAGACTAGACTATAGACTAGACTATAGACTAGACTATAGACTAGACTATAGACTAGACTATAGACTACTCTATAGACTAGACTATAGACTAGACTAAAGACTAGACTATAGACTAGACTAAAGACTAGACTATAGACTAGACTACAGACTAGACTATAGACTAGACTATAGACTAGACTATAGACTAGACTATAGACTAGACTATAGACTAGACAATAGACTAGACTATAGACTAGACTATAGACTAGACTATAGACTAGACAATAGACTAGACTATAGACTAGACTATAGACTAGACTATAGACTAGACTAGACTATAGACTAGACTATAGACTAGACTATAGACTAGACTATAGACTAGACTAGACTATAGACTAGACTATAGACTAGACTATAGACTAGAATATAGACTAGACTATAGACTAGAATATAGACTAGACTATAGACTAGACTATAGACTAGACATAAAGACTAGACTATAGACTATACTTAGACTAGAATATAGACTAGACTATAGACTAGATTATAGACTAGACTATAGACTAGACTATAGACTAGACTATAGACTAGACTATAGACTAGACTATAGACTAGACTATAGACTAGACTAGACTAGACTAGACTAGACTATAGACTAGACTAGACTATAGACTAGACTATAGATTAGACTATAGACTAGACTATAGACTAGACTATAGATTAGACTATAGACTAGACTATAGACTAGACATAAGACTAGACTATAGACTAGACTATAGACTAGAATATAGACTAGACTATAGACTAGACTATAGACTAGACTATAGACTAGACTATAGACTAGACTATAGACTAGACTATAGACTAGACTATAGACTAGACTATAGACTAGACTATAGACTAGACTATAGACTAGACTATAGACTAGACTATAGACTAGACTATAGACTAGACTATAGACTAGACTATAGACTAGACCATAGACTAGACTATAGACTAGACTATAGACTAGACCATAGACTAGACTATAGACTAGACTATAGACTAGACTATAGACTAGACTATAGACTAGACTATAGACTAGACTATAGACTAGACTATAGACTAGACTATAGACTAGACTATAGACTAGACTATAGACTAGACTATAGACTAGACTATAGACTAGACTATAGACTATACTATAGACTAGACTATAGACTAGACTATAGACTAGACTATAGACTAGACTATAGACTAGACTATAGACTAGATTACCTATAGACTAGACTATAGACTAGACTATAGACTAGACTCTAGACTAGATCTAGACTAGACTAATAGACTAGACTATAGACTAGACTATACTGACTATAGACTAGACTCTAGACTAGACTATAGACTAGACTATAGACTAGACTATATACTAGACTATAGACTAGACTATAGACTAGACTATAGACTAGACTATAGACTAGACTATAGACTAGACTATAGACTAGACTATAGACGAGACTATAGACTAGACTATAGACTAGACTATAGACTAGACTATAGACTAGACTATAGACTAGACTATAGACTAGACTATAGACTAGACTATAGACTAGACTATAGACTAGACATAGACTAGACTATAGACTAGACTATAGACTAGACTATAGACTAGACTATAGACTAGACTATAGACTAGACTGTAGACTAGACTTAGACTATAGATTAGACTATAGATTAGACTATAGACCAGACTATGGATTAGGCGAGTAAAAGTCTATAGTCTGGTTGTCGTGTGAAAATTCTGTTCATTTTCAAAAATCTTTCTGAAAAAATCTTGGGAATTTACATTTTCTTTAAGTTAAGATTTTAACTAACAGATTTCAAGAAACATTTTAATTAAGAAGGTAATAATAAAAAGAAAATAAGTTTTTTTAAATTCATTTAATTTCCATCATTAATAATAAAGATATTATGTACATTAAATATTTATTCAATTTTCTTTTTTCTTATAACTTTTCAGCATGCCGTTATGAGAAAGGCTCCTGGTCTGAATGTGCTACTGGTCAAATGACACGGGCTGATAAATTGAAGGCAACCAGCGATCCATCGTGTGAAGCAACACGTGTTATTAAGAAAAACTGCAAACCAGGCAAATCCAAGGACAAGACTGCCAAGGAACAACGTAAAAATAAAGATAAAGGTAAGTAACAGAGAATAAGCTTTCGTTCGGAGGTAATTAAGTGAATTTGTGTTAAAAGAACTTACAAATTAACAGAAAAAATAAAAAAAAAGAATTGTTAATGGTGATGCTAAATGATGATGATGGTGGTACCACCAGTTAATCTACACTGGCTTAAGGACAATCATTTAATTTTGTGCAAAAAAACGACAGAAATTTTCTCAGAAAACTAAGGGCTTTTTTATACGTTAGATAAGTTTAAATGACGTTAGTTGCTTAAGGAAAATATTAATTTAAATTGTCTATTAAATTTGTAAGTTGATAATTGTTTTCCATGTTTTGAGTCTTTTAAAGAAATATCTGCTTTCAGTTAGAGGGTCGTTGACTTGTTGTTTAGAAAAAACTAGGAAACATTTTAAAATAATTGTAATTAAATTAAATGGACTTTGTTAATTAAGCAAATGAACGCAAAAGTTTGTTTAAAACTTATTTTAAGTTATAAAAATTAACTGTTAAAATTGTAGATAATTATTTTTATATTGAAGGACATATGGCCTTTGAAGGCAGGACACAAGATAAATATTAGAAAATTTTCACAATTGTACAGAAGATTTTATTAGTTTTTAAATTAAAACCATTAATTTTAAGGAACTAACAGACGGATGAACAAGTTGGAAGTACGACAACTACTTTTGTCCACAACATAAGTGTGTACCATAGTGGAAGAAATCATCTTTCAATTGTAATTTTATTTTCTAAAGAAAATTTGCTACAAAATACTAAAACTTTTTCTTTTATACAAAATTTTAAACTCAAAGATAGATTGTCATAGATTGTCAAAGATAGATTGTCATAAAAGCCTTTAATTTCCCTCCCAAAGAAAGACGGCAAAAGTTATTCTATTTACAAAGAAAACTATGGTATTAATGTATTGTAATGTTAAAAGAAAAAGTTTTTTTATAAAAACAGTCATTCCTTTTACTTTACCTAGCTAAAGGAAAACTTTAATTAGTTTCTTTCTTTTGGCCAAGGTGCAGCAGATTTGTTTGCTTATTTATATCGGCAAACAAACTGAACTTTTGTACAAAAGAACACAAATACAAAAGAACAACATTCTAAATTTTTCTTTTGCTAACAACTGATTAAGTATTACACTCGATAAAAAAAAAATTGACTATTGAGGACAAAAGTAAAAACTGTCAGTGGATGAAAAGTTTGAATTAGTTTTTTTCTTTATTTATTTTAAGAAAATAGCTGGCAATGCATTTTTGGGGAGTACAAACGAAATGTTTATTTAAACAAAATAAATCTTTAGACTTTGCCAAAAGAAAAACTTTTATAAAAAGCAGTACAACTAAAAGACTTTAAAGGCGACCGAAAGTTTTAAATATTTTTTGAAATGGACTTCAAATAGAAGTAATCAGCAAATTGGTTTTGTTGGGCGAAAAGACAGTCATACATAATTATACTAATATATATGGACATTTTGCACACATAATTTATACACGACTTGGCTAAAATCAAGACTATTGGCTACACTGTAAGGAAAACTATAGATTGGACTACAGAACAGTCTCAAAATAAAATAAACTAGAAATTAGAATATAAACAACATTATAAACTGGACTATAAAATAGACTAAAAATTATACCAGGATATATTCCATGTATCAGACTCGATTTTAGATTAGACCACAGACTAGGATATAGACTAGATTATTAACAATATTATACACTAGATATAGACAAGACTGTAGTCTAGACCATAGATGAGACTAGACAATAGACTAGACTAAAGCCTAGACTATAGCCTAGACTATAGTCTAAACTATAGACTAGACTAGAGCCTAGACTAAAGACTAGACTATAGACTAGATTACAGACTAGACTATAGACCATACTAATACTAGGATCATAGAATAGAGTGTAGGTTAGAATACAGACGACACGATAGACGACACTATAGACTAGACTATAGACTAGACTATTGACTAGACTAGACTTATAGACTAGACTATAGACTAGACTATAGACTAGACTATAGACTAGACTATAGACTAGACTATAGGACTAGACTATAGACTAGACTATAGACTAGACTATAGACTAGACTATAGACTAGACTATAGACTAGACTATAGACTAGACTATAGACTAGACTATAGACTAGACTATAGACTAGACTATAGACTAGACTATAGACTAGACTATAGACTAGACTATAGACTAGACTATAGACTAGACTATAGACTAGACTATAGACTAGACTATAGACTAGACTATAGACTAGACTATAGACTAGACTATAGACTAGACTATAGACTAGACTATAGACTAGACTATAGACTAGACTATAGACTAGACTATAGACTAGACTATAGACTAGACTATAGACTAGACTATAGACTAGACTATAGACTAGACTATGACTAGACTATAGACTAGACTATAGACTAGACTATAGACTAGACTAATAGACTACTATAGATCTAGTCTATAGTCTAGTCTATAGTCTAGTCTATAGTCTAGTCTATAGTCTAGTCTATAGTCTAGTCTATAGTCTAGTCTATAGTCTAGTCTATAGTCTAGTCTATAGTCTAGTCTATAGTCTAGTCTATAGTCTAGTCTATAGTCTAGTCTATAGTCTAGTCTATAGTCTAGTCTATAGTCTAGTCTATAGTCTAGTCTATAGTCTAGTCTATAGTCTAGTCTATAGTCTAGTCTATAGTCTAGTCTATAGTCTAGTCTATAGTCTAGTCTATAGTCTAGTCTATAGTCTAGTCTATAGTCTAGTCTATAGTCTAGTCTATAGTCTAGTCTATAGTCTAGTCTATAGTCTAGTCTATAGTCTAGTCTATAGTCTAGTCTATAGTCTAGTCTATAGTCTAGTCTATAGTCTAGTCTATAGTCTAGTCTATAGTCTAGTCTATAGTCTAGTCTATAGTCTAGTCTATAGTCTAGTCTATAGTCTAGTCTATAGTCTAGTCTATAGTCTAGTCTATAGTCTACTCTATAGTCTAGTCTATAGTCTAGTCTATAGTCTAGTCTATAGACTAGTCTATAGTCTAGTCTACAGTCTAGTCTATAGTCTAGTCTATAGTCTAGTCTATAGTCTACTCTATAGTCTAGTCTATAGTCTAGTCTATAGACTAGTCTATAGTCTAGTCTATAGTCTAGTCTATAGTCTAGTCTATAGTCTAGTCTATAGTCTAGTCTATAGTCTAGTCTATAGTCTATAGTCTAGTCTATTGTCTAGTCTATAGTCTAGTCTATAGTCTATTCAATAGTCTAGTCTACAGTCTATTCTATAGTGTAGTCTATAGTCTATTCTATAGTCTAGTCTATAGTCTATTCTATAGTCTAGTCTATAGTCTATTCTATAGTCTAGTCTATAGTCTATTTTATAGTCTAGTCTATAGTCTAGTCTATAGTCTAGTCTATAGTCTAGTCTATAGTCTATTCTATAGTCTAGTCTATAGTCTAGTCTATAGTCTAGTCTATAGTCTAGTCTATAGTCTAGTCTATACTATAGTCTAGTCTATAGTCTAGTCTATAGTCTAGTCTATAGTCTAGTCTATAGTCTAGTCTATAGTCTATTCTATAGTCTAGTCTATAGTCTAGTCTATAGTCTAGTCTATAGTCTAGTCTATAGTCTAGTCTATAGTCTAGTCTATAGTCTAGTCTATAGTCAAGTCTATAGTCTAGTCTATAGTCTAGTCTATAGTCTAGTCTATAGTCTAGTCTATAGTCTAGTCTACAGTCTAGTCTATAGTCTAGTCTATAGTCTAGCCTATAGTCTAGTCTATAGTCTAGTCTATAGTGTAGTCTATAGTCTAGTCTATAGTGTAGTCTATAGTCTATAGTCTAGTCTATAGTCTAGTCTATAGTCTAGTCTATAGTCTATTCTATAGTCTAGTCTATAGTCTATTCTATAGTCTAGTCTATAGTCTAGTCTATAGTCTAGTCTATAGTCTAGTCTATAGTCTAGTCTATAGTCTAGTCTATAGTCTAGTCTATAGTCTATATTCTATAGTCTAGTCTATAGTCTAGTCTATAGTCTAGTCTATAGTCTAGTCTATAGTCTAGTCTATAGTCTAGTCTATAGTCTAGTCTATAGTCTAGTCTATAGTCTAGTCTATAGTCTAGTCTATAGTCAAGTCTATAGTCTAGTCTATAGTCTAGTCTATAGTCTAGTCTATAGTCTAGTCTATAGTCTAGTCTACAGTCTAGTCTATAGTCTAGTCTATAGTCTAGCCTATAGTCTAGTCTATAGTCTAGTCTATAGTGTAGTCTATAGTCTAGTCTATAGTCTAGTCTATAGTCTAGTCTATAGTGTAGTCTATAGTCTAGCTATAGTCTAGTCTATAGTCTAGTCTATAGTCTAGTCTATAGTCTAGTCTATAGTCTAGTCTATAGTCTAGTCTATAGTCTAGTCTATAGTCTAGTCTATAGTCTAGTCTATAGTCTAGTCTATAGTCTAGTCTATAGTCTAGTCTATAGTCTAGTCTATAGTCTAGTCTATAGTCTAGTCTATAGTCTCGTCTAAGTCTAGTCTATAGTCTAGTCTATAGTCTAGTCTATTCTATAGTCTAGTCTATAGTCTATTCTATAGTCTAGTCTATAGTCTAGTCTATAGTCTAGTCTATAGTCTAGTCTACAGTCTATTCTATAGTCTAGTCTATAGTCTAGTCTACAGTCTATTCTATAGTGTAGTCTATAGTCTATTCTATAGTCTAGTCTATAGTCTATTCTATAGTCTAGTCTATAGTCTAGTCTATAGTCTAGTCTATAGTCTAGTCTATAGTCTAGTCTATAGTCTAGTCTATAGTCTATTCTATAGTCTAGTCTATAGTCTATTCTATAGTCTAGTCTATAGTCTAGTCTATAGTCTATCTATAGTCTAGTCTATAGTCTAGTATGTCTAGTCTATAGTCTAGTCTATAGTCTAGTCTATAGTCTAGTCTATAGTCTAGTCTATAGTCTAGTCTATAGTCTAGTCTATAGTCTAGTCTATAGTCTAGTCTAGTCTATAGTCTAGTCTATAGTCTAGTCTATAGTCTAGTCTATAGTCTAGTCTATAGTCTAGTCTATAGTCTAGTCTAGTCAAGTCTATAGTCTAGTCTATAGTCTAGTCTATAGTCTAGTCTATAGTCTAGTCTATAGTCTAGTCTACAGTCTAGTCTATAGTCTAGTCTATAGTCTAGCCTATAGTCTAGTCTATAGTCTAGTCTATAGTCTAGTCTATAGTCTAGTCTATAGTCTAGTCTATAGTCTAGTCTATAGTGTAGTCTATAGTCTAGCTATAGTCTAGTCTATAGTCTAGTCTATAGACTAGACTATAGACTAGAGTATAGACTAGAGTATAGACTAGACTATAGACTAGACTTTAAACTGGACTATAGACTATATTATAGAGTAGACTAGCCTATAGACTAGACTATAGACTACACTAACGACTGTACTATAAACTAGAGTAAAGACTGGACTAAACACTAGAGTATAAACTAGACTATGGACTAGGCTATATACAAGACTATAGACTAGAACAAAGACTAGACTATAGACTAGAGTATAAACTAGAATGTAGACTAGACCATTGTCTGTAGTTTAGATTCAAATTTGCCTAATATTGCTTTTAATTCTAGAAAATATTTAGTTTTTGTCTTTTGTAAATATTGACTAATTTATATTATTCTTCTTCATTATTTCAGGTGCCCGCAAAGGACGTGCCTAAATTTCATATTAAGTCTTTACTACAAGACACCCAGCGACATATTTCTGTTTTAAAAAAAAAATAAATTTTAAACAAAAAAGATCAACAAGAATAATAAATAAACCAAACCTTAAAATTATAAGTTAAACAAAAAAAAAATATTATGAATACAAAAAACATTTAAGTAAAATTAAGAAAACAAATACAACTTATACAGAAAAAATAAGAAATTAAACAATTTTAAAATAAATAGTTGATGTAATAATGATTACTCGAAAAAATAATTAATGAAATGAAAACAAACCCCTTACCACAAAAACACAAATAAAAATAATAGTTTTTAAAATTATTTATATTTAACCTAAAAATAAACAAAATACATATTTCTACTTAACCCCACTCAAATAATAAAAAGAAAAACTAATTAAAACTAAACCTTTCCTTAAAAATTTCCCTAAATCCTTAGAAAACCCTAGATATTTTTTAGTTTTTTTTTTTTTAATTTTTCCTAGACAGGAGTTAAACAACAAAAAAAAAAAAAACAATACGATACTACTACTAATAAAACAAATAAATATTTAAGAACAACAACAAGAAATATACATAAAATACTTAAATTACATTAAAACAAAAACAAAAGATAATTAAATATTATATACATTAAAAGTTGCTATAAAATGAGAATTAAAGAAAGCAAAAAGAAGAAGAAGAAGAACATTATTTAACAAATTAATTTTTAAATAAAATTAACAAAAATCATTTGAAAATTTAAAAAAAAAACATTCATCACTTACATAAAAAAGTTAAAGAAATTAAACAAGTTTTCTCCAAACTTTTTACTTTAGAATTTTCGATTCATACTAATTATTCTGAAATTTAAAATTTTCAATTTCAAATCTTCTTGTTTAATTTCTATAACTCTTTAACTTTATTACATCTACATACATACCCAATGGTAATTTATTAATTACTCAAACTTATACATTTACAAATCAGAAAATAATTGAAATTTAAAAAAATATATACATCTAAGACATGATCGAAAATCAACTTAAAATATTGATTTATTTAAAAAAAAAAAATTCCCCCAGTAAATAAAATTAAATTTAAAAAAAAAAAACAAGAAGATAAAAATAAAAAATGACATTTTCTTATAAATTTATATGTTTTAAGGTATTAACAAAAAATATAAAATAAAAACAAAAGAACAAGAAAAAATTTAAAATTACAAAAGAAAACAAAAACAATTATATGATTATTATTAGTTGTATCCTTAAACTGATCAATAAAAATTAAAAAGTTTAAAACAAAAATTAAATAAAAAATTTATTTCTAAAGTTTGAATTTGTTGTAGTAAGTATAAAAAACAATTAGCATACTCCCGATCTTTGTTTATGATACATTTTCAGGAGACTAAAGTTATGATGTTCTTTCTCAAAGTTCTTTGCAAAGGATATATAAATTTGTACCAGAGTACACATTTAATATATGATAATCTACATCAGCTATAAACAAACTTTTAGAAATCGGCCCCATATAGAATCCTATTTCAATTCTTATTGTGGAATAAGAACTAGATTTAAGGTGTGAGTTTGGGTACTATATAGACCGATATATAGTAATATAGTTCCAGTTACTTGTTTCTGGTCAGTAGGGGTTTTTCAAGGTTTCCAGGTTCAATATTGGAGAAAATTTAAAAAGTTCCTTTTGTAGAATGAAAAAGTACCAAAAGTGCCCTTTAATGTGTTCTCACGTAATCCGGTATCTTCATACTTAATTTCACGTTTCTAAATTCAATATTATAGAAAATACAAAAAGTACCTTTTGAAGAACGAAAAAGTACTAAAAAGGGCCCTTTTATAGATTCTCACTTAATCCGGGCTTTACATGCTTAATTTCTTGTTTCTAGATTCAATATTATTGAAAATTCAAAAAGTACCTTTTGAAGAACGAAAAAGTACTAAAAAGGCCCCTTTTATAGATTCTCCCTCAATTCGGATCAGTACATGCTTAATTTCTTGTTTCTAGATTCAATATTATAGACATTTCAAAAAGTACTTTTTTAAAAACGAAAAAGTACCAAAAAAGTAAGTACTCACTTAATCAGGACTCTGCATGCTTAATTTCATGTTTCTAGGTTCCATATTATTGAAAATTCAAAAAGTACCTTTTGAAGACCGAAAAGGTACGAAAAAGTCGCGCTTTTATATGTTTTCAATTAATCCGGGCTAAACATGCTTAATTTAATTTTTCTTGGTTTAATATTATAGAAAATACAAAAAGTTTCTTTTGAAGATCGAAGAAGTACCAAAAAGTCCCCTTTTATATGTTCTCACTTATTCGGATCACTACATGCTCTATTGTGTGTTTCTATGTCCAATGTTATAGAAAATTCAAAAAATATTTTTTGAAGAATGAAAAAGTATCAAAAGTCGCTTTTATAGGTTCTCTTTTACTTTCGGCTCTACATGCTAATTTTCATTTTTCAATTTTCAATATTATAAAAAATTCGAAAAGTACCTTTTGAAGGAAGAAAAAGTACCAAAAAGTCCCCACATCTCACTTAATTCGGTTGAATATTATAGAAACTGCAAAAAGTACCTTTTGTAGAACGAAAAAGTAGCAAAATAGGTTCTGACCTAATCCGGGCCAAAAAGTCCCCATTTATGTGTTCTCACTTAATCCGGGCTAAACATGCTAAATTTCATGTTTCTAGGTTCAATATTATAGAAAATTCGAAAAGTACTTTTTGAAGAACGAAAAGTACCCTTTTAAAAAAAATTCATGTTTCTACCAATAAGACACAGTTTCATCTTAATTTTTTATGAAATTTTCAGAGGTTGTTTCAGATTTTTGGTTATATCTCCGTTATATAGCCGAACGTACATATGCCTAATATAATTATTGAAGATCTCACAGATATCTGAAACTGATTTCAACATACACACGAACAGACAGACAGACAGACAGAGAGAGAGACATACATATATTTGAAAACAAACAAAACTAAAAGAAGTGTTATATTCGACTATGCCGAATTTTATATACCCACCATCAAACCGTATGCCGTAAACGGAATGCTCACTTACTATTGTTACAGAAGTTCTGTATATTGAATTTCACAGCTATTTTTAAGCCAGAAAAGTGCGTCTTTTTCTGAATGGGCCTTATATTGGGGGTAGGGTCAATTATGGACCGATTTGATTGAGAGATTTGTGCTTGTAAGAAATTTACTTATGTTAAATTTCAGGGCTATACTCGTATTTTTAAGCCAGTAGTAGGCGTTGAAGTAATTTTTTGGAGGGGACCATATACATATATGAGGGGTAGGTCATTTATGGACCGATCCTCATAAAATTTGAAACTTATTTATGTCGAATTTCATCGCATTTTTTAAACAGTTATGACTGTTAAAGCTGTTTTTGGAGACTCACTTGTATGATGGCTATGCGAAAATGTGGACCGATATTACCCATTTTCAATACCAAACAAACCTTGCGTTCGGACTCTATCGTGCTTTCAACAGAGAGACAGACAGACTGAAGGACGGACAGACTATACTATACAGAATATATGTATATACTTTTATGGGTCTATGATCAATATTTCAATGTGTTACAAACGGAATGACAAAATCAATATATCGTCCCCCATCTTTTTATAAGGTGGGTATAAAAAGGGGGTTTCGTAGACGGACATAGCCAAACAGACTTCGATACCTAAATATAAGGAGTTAATAAATGTATTTGTACCTTGTGAGGTCACAAAATTAATATTAATATTTTGAACAGAATAACAAACTTATATATCGTCACCTTAAACGCAAACGGCCCTAACTAATCAAAAATTCAAAATCGATTTTATTATTGATTCCAATGTATTGCATCAAAACAAAAGTCCACACCTAAAATTGGACTCATCCGACCAAAATTACCAATTTTATTGACAAAAAACTAAAGGCCCTATCTACAAAGACATTTAAATATTGAGAGTAAAAAGTCCATTTTATCCATTTTTATATACGCCATTGTCAATTATCATAACAAATTATAGGTTTCACCATTAAATAATTTGTTTATTTACTACAAATAAATAGCGTTGGTAGAAACAAAATTTTGAATATAAATAGTTTTTTGCTTCTCCTGTAAAATTTTAAATAATGTTAGATAGGGCCGTTTGTGTTTCACGATATACTCTTAATACGAAGTTAAAGGGTACAATAAATCACATCACAATAACAACTAGTGTAGGTTATACTATGGTTGGCCTCGATCGACTATACTTTCTTACTTGTTTTTTCAATATATTTATCACAATTTGTGTGGTAAAATGTAAAGTACAAATGTTTAATCAAAAAACCACAAAAATTAATTTTCAAATTATACTCTCAGATTAATAAAAATATTTCGAAAAATATTAAGCAAAGATATTAGCAGTATTCGCATATGTTAGCAAAACAGTGTTACTAACAATTCCTAATGTAATTACAATCATTATGAATTATATCGTAATAAAAATACATACATATGTATTTTTTTAATATTTCTAGAAGTAGAGTGTACTTTTGGTTCAACTGAATGTACCTAAGTTGAACTGATTCATTGGGGGACTGACCTATATTGAATCCATCTCACAGTGCGCGAATTTCAATAAAAAAAGAAAAGAATATTAACGATTGTACAATCAATATCCAAAATACCAGTAAAATCGTTTAACAAACTTTCCACTTTAGTGGTGAAGGGTTCTATTTTTAAAATAATAATTTACACCAAAGATAAGACAAATTAATTAAACTTCAATAAAACCATATAAAAACCTCAATAATTTTAAATATTTCAACACTCGTAAAGAATACAATGAAGTGTGTAGTAGTTTATATTTTATTCCTAATAAATCTGGTATATTGTGTGCCCGAACAGAAATGGCGTGAAAGTGAAGATGGTAGTAAATTTTATATAGAACCAGCAGGAAAGGTAAATGCTCAAAACAGGCAACTGAAATGAAATAACAAAATTTACAAAAATATCGATTAATATTTTCAAAATATATAAAAAAGGTTTTTTATCTTTTTGCAAACATTTAAATTTTCAGTACAATTGGTACGAGGCCTGGAGTGATTGTGCACGCAAAAACATGTCCCTGATTGCCATTGATACCTATGCCAAACATCAACAGATTGATAATTTATTAAAGCGATTATATAGTAAGTTTATATAAGCAGAAGCACCCGTCTAAGCTCTACATTTAAATTATTTTAGACTCCTGTCCTCCAGTTTGGATTGCCGGCCACGATAATGCTGTGCATTTACGTTTTGAATGGGCCTCTACCGGCCAACCATTTAGCTTTACCAACTGGGGAGCTAATCAACCGGCTGATACGACTAAGAATGAACCCTGTATTTTAATGTGGACCGATTTTCAATGGCATGATTATCCGTGCACAAATAAATTGGGTTATATATGTGAAGAACATCCTCTAGTTAAGAACGGCTGTAACAAACCATTGTTGACCAATGCCCAAGATATGAGTGATTTGAAAAATATTTTATTTTATTTTAGGAATGGTAAATAAAGGGTTTGTGATTTAATGTGTGAAATTATGTGAGTTGTGGTTTCTGAAATTAATGAAGATTTTGTGTAAAAGAAATAAAATATGTAAATCTTTATACAAATATAACAACGAAGTGTTTGATTTCTTTGAGTATTTAAATTGAAATAGATCGAGGGCTACACGCACATACAAAGTATTAGAAGTTGTATATATGGAGACTTCTGCAGATAAAGTCCTCATAACTAACTAACTAACTAACTAACTAACTAACTAACTAACTAACTAACTAACTAACTAACTAACTAACTACTAACTACTAACTAACTAACTAACTAACTAACTAACTAACTAACTAACTAACTAACTAACTAACTAACTAACTAACTAACTAACTAACTAACTAACTAACTAACTAACTAACTAACTAACTAACTAACTAACTAACTAACTAACTAACTAACTAACTAACTAACTAACTAACTAACTAACTAACTAACTAACTAACTAACTAACTAACTAACTAACTACTAACTAACTAACTAACTAACTAACTAACTAACTAACTAACTAACTAACTAACTAACTAACTAACTAACTAACTAACTAACTAACTAACTACTAACTAACTAACTAACTAACTAACTAACTAACTAACTAACTAACTAACTAACTAACTAACTAACTAACTAACTAACTAACTAACTAACTAACTAACTAACTAACTAACTAACTAACTAACTAACTAACTAACTAACTAACTAACTAACTAACTAACTAACTAACTAACTAACTAACTAACTAACTAACTACTACTACTAACTAACTAACTAACTAACTAACTAACTAACTAACTAACTAACTAACTAACTAACTAACTAACTAACTAACTACTACTAACTAACTAACTAACTAACTAACTAACTAACTAACTAACTACTAACTAACTAACTAACTACTAACTAACTAACTAACTAACTAACTAACTAACTAACTAACTAACTAACTAACTAACTAACTAACTACTAACTAACTAACTAACTAACTAACTAACTAACTAACTAACTAACTAACTAACTACTAACTAACTAACTAACTAACTAACTAACTAACTAACTAACTAACTAACTAACTAACTAACTAACTAACTAACTAACTAACTAACTAACTAACTAACTAACTAACTAACTAACTAACTAACTACTAACTAACTAACTAACTAACTAACTAACTAACTAACTAACTAACTAACTACTAACTAACTACTAACTAACTAACTAACTAACTAACTAACTAACTAACTACTAACTAACTACTACTACTACTAACTAACTAACTAACTAACTACTGTAAAAACAACATAAATGCTTCAGCATAAAAAAACATATCTACTGCTATAGGGTATCATTTGGTCGGCAATGCCCGACTTTCTGTCTTCATATGAGAGATTAGTCATAACAACAGTCAACATAAAAGTCTTTATTTATGACAAAATTTTATTTTATGAAATAAATTTGAAATGGAAATTTCGTTTTATAAACCTTTGATAAAATAAAAGTTTGTTTTTGAATATGGGCAATTTTCTGGAATAGGGGATTTTTTACGTTCAACGATAAATATAAGCTGATTTATATTTTTTTATTCAAAACATAATTTGTAATTTTTTTACGGATGCTGATATGGAAACTTGCTATTTTAAAATTGTACAGAACATACATAGAAATAGTATTTTAAGGAAGTTGAAAGTATTTTTGTTATTTTCTTTACATATTTAAAATTTATTTCAAAGATAATTCTTTTGAAACAAAATTCTCAAACTCTTCCGATATTGATAAAGTTCTCAATATTGTCTAAGTTTTTAATAAGATTTAACCTAAAATACAATTACAAATTATTTTCAAAATGGATTGGAATACGGTTTATAATATATGTATGTGGAAAGTGTAATGTTCCATCCCTGGCATAAAAAAAAAAACATTTTAAAATTTAAGCTAAAATGATAAGACTTTGAAAATATATTCAACAGAAGAAAAAAATCACATAAATATCTCAGAAAACGAAAATATTTCAGTATTTATAAAAATCACAATGAAGAGTATAGTTTATATCTTAATTTTAATTAACGCGGTGTCCAGTGTACCCGAACAAAAATGGCGAGAAAGTGAAGATGGCAGCAAATTTTATATTGAAGTTACAAAAAAAGTAAATTTAAAAAAAAAAAAAAAAATAATAATTGAATAAAAGTATATATATAGTAAGGCTGCTTATTACAACCATTTAAATTACTCGCGAAGTATTAAAACAGTGCAATTTTGCATTTGCGGAAAAGATTTGTGAAAAAATTTATGAAAATTGAAATCATGTATACAATAACTTTTAAAGTCAAATTTCAAACATTAAACCAAAATTTTCAGGTTAATTTTTTCGAAGCCTGGAGCGACTGTGCCCGTAAAAATATGTCTCTGATTGCCATCGATTCCTATGCTAAACATCAACAAATCGATGGTTTATTAAGAAGACTATACAGTAAGTTACAATCAAAATAAATATTATCGGTTTAATAGGCTTTAACATTTTAATCATTGCAGCCTCATGTCCATCGGTTTGGATTGGCGGTCATGACAATGCTGTACATTTACGTTTCGAATGGATGTCTACCGGTGAACCGTTTAGCTTTACCAACTGGGGACCTGGACAACCGGCTGATACTGCTAAAGATGAACACTGTTTGCTTATATGGACGGATTTTCAATGGCATGATTATCCCTGCACGGGTAAACTGGGCTATATATGTGAGGAAATCCAATGGCTAAGAAGGGCTGTAATCAGCCATGGTTAGGAAATATGTCCGTGACATGAGTGATTTGAAAAATGTTTTATTTTATTTTAATAATAATATAAATGGAAGTTATGTGAATTATATGGATTCTGGTTAAGTGAGTTAGTTAGTTAGTTAGTTAGTTAGTTAGTTAGTTAGTTGTTAGTTTTAGTTTAGTTAGTTAGTTAGTTAGTTAGTTCGTTTAGTTAGTTAGTTAGTTCGTTAGTTAGTTCGTTAGTTAGTTAGTTCGTTCGTTAGTTCGTTAGTTGTTAGTTCTTAGTTCGTTAGTTCGTTGTTTAGTTAGTTCGTTCGTTCGTTCGTTCGTTCGTTCGTTAGTTCGTTTTTAGTTCGTTCGTTCGTTCGTTCGTTCGTTCGTTCGTTCGTTCGTTCGTTCTTTCGTTCGTTCGTTCGTTTTCGTTCGTTCGTTCGTTCGTTCGTTCGTCGTTCGTTCGTTTTTCGTTCGTTCGTTCTTCGTTTCGTTCGTTCGTTCGTTCGTTCGTTCGTTCGTTCGTATCGTTCGTTCGTTCGTTCGTTCGTTCGTTCGTTCGTTCGTTCGTTCGTTCGTTCGTTCGTTCGTTCGTTCGTTCGTTATTCGGTTTCGTTCGTTCGTTCGTTCGTTCGTTCGTTCGTTCGTTCGTTCTTCGTTCGTTCGTTCGTTCGTTCGTTCGTTCTTTCGTTCGTTAGTTCGTTCGTTCGTTAGTTCGTTCGTTAGTTCGTTCGTTCGTTCGTTCGTTGTTCCGTTCGTTCGTTCGTTCGTTCGTTCGTTCGTTCGTTCGTTCGTTCGTTCGTTCGTTCGTTCGTTCGTTTCGTTCGTTCGTTCGTTCGTTCGTTGTTCGTTCGTTCGTTCGTTCGTTCGTTCGTTCGTTCGTTCGTTCGTTCGTTAGTTCTTCGTTCGTCGTTCGTTCGTTCGTTCGTTCGTTCGTTCGTTCGTTCGTTTCGTTCGTTCGTTCGTTCTTCGTTCCTTCGTTCGTTGCTGCCTCGCTCGGTCTCTTTTCCGTTGCTTCTATGAGATTTATTTACGTACTGCACTTCCACCACTGTGGTTAAGAGTAATTAAAGCAGTTTTAATACAGACTCCTAAAAAATCTTATAAATACCTCGGCAAACTAGAATAACATTTCATTTACAATAACTACAATGAAGAATACAGTGTATATTTTAATTTCAATAAATCTGGTGTTATGTATGCCCGAACAAAAATTGCGTGAAAGTGATGATGGCAGTAAATTTTATATAGAAACTTCCAAAAATGTGAATTAATGTTCAACGAATTCCTAAGCAAAAAATAAACAAAAATATAATAATTTATGTTTATTTCAGTACAATTGGTTTGAGGCCTGGAGTGAATGTGCACGCAAAAACATGTCCTTGATTGCCATTGATACCTACAACAAGCATCAACAGATCGATAATTTATTAAAAAGATTTTATAGTAAGATTTAATTCTGAAAATACAGAAAAACTTTTCCGAGAACTAACGAATTTTGTTTAGCCGCAGCACCACCACTGTGGATTTCTGGTCATGACAATGCTGTAAATTCACGTTACGAATGGGCCACCACAGGTGAACGTTTTAGCTTTACAAACTGGGGACCTGGACAACCGGCCGATAAAAATAATACCGAACATTGTATTTTAATATGGGTCGACTTTCAATGGCATGACGATTTCTGCAGCACAAAATTAGGTTTTATATGTGAAGAAAATCGTTTGGTTAAGAATGAGTGTCATGATCGGTTTGTTAAAAGTGCTATAGATATAAGAGAATTAAAAAATGTTTTATTTTATTTTAATGGTGGTAAGTAAAAGTTGTTAAAAATTAGTTAAAAGAGAATTTTAAAACATAGTGAGAAAATAATTTATCGTTGTTACAAAACGATGTTTAAGTCTATAGTATAGTCTAGTCTATAGTCCAGTCTATAGTCTAGTCTATGGTCTAGTCTATAGTCTAGTCTATAGTCTAGTCTATAGTCTAGTCTATAGTCTAGTCTATAGTCTAGTCTATAGTCTAGTCTATAGTCTAGTCTATAGTCTAGTCTATAGTCTAGTCTATAGTCTAGTCTATAGTCTAGTCTATAGTCTAGTCTATAGTCTAGTCTATAGTCTAGTCTATAGTCTAGTCTATAGTCTAGTCTATAGTCTAGTCTATAGTCTAGTCTATAGTCTAGTCTATAGTCTAGTCTATAGTCTAGTCTATAGTCTAGTCTATAGTCTAGTCTATAGTCTAGTCTATAGTCTAGTCTATAGTCTAGTCTATAGTCTAGTCTATAGTCTAGTCTATAGTCTAGTGTATAGTCTAGTCTATGTCTAGTCTATAGTCTAGTTATAGTCTAGTCTATAGTCTAGTCTATAGTCTAGTCTATAGTCTAGTCTATAGTCTAGTCTATAGTCTAGTCTATAGTCTAGTCTATAGTCTAGTCTATAGTCTAGTCTAGTCTATAGTCTAGTCAGTAGTCTAGTCTATAGTCTAGTCTATAGTCTAGTCTATAGTCTAGTCTATAGTCTAGTCGATAGTCTATAGTCAAGTCTATAGTCTAGTCTATAGTCTAGTCTATAGTCTAGTCTATAGTCTAGTCTATAGTCTAGTCTATAGTCTAGTCTATAGTCTAGTCTATGGTCTAGTCTATAGTCTAGTCTATGGTCTAGTCTATAGTCTAGTCTATAGTCTAGCCTATAGTCTAGTCTATAGTCTAGCCTATAGTCTAGTCTATAGTCTAGTCATAGTATAGTCTATAGTCTAGTCTATAGTCTAGTCTATAGTCTAGTCTATAGTCTAGTCTATAGTCTAGTCTATAGTCTAGTCTATAGTCTAGTCTATAGTCTAGTCTATAGTCTACTCTATAGTTTAGTCTATAGTCTAGTCTATAGTCTAGTCTATAGTCTAGTCTATAGTCTAGTCTAGTCTATAGTCTAGTCTATAGTCTAGTCTATAGTCTAGTCTATAGTTTACTCTAGTCTAGTCTATAGTCTAGTCTATAGTCTAGTCTATGGTCTAGTCTATAGTCTAGTCTATAGTCTAGTCTATAGTCTAGTCTATAGTCTAGTCTATAGTCTAGTCTATAGTCTAGTCTATAGTCTAGTCTATAGTCTAGTCTATAGTCTAGTCTATAGTCCAGTCTATAGTCTAGTCTATAGTCTAGTCTATAGTCTAGTCTATAGTCTAGTCTATAGTCTAGTCTATAGTCTAGTCTATAGTCTAGTCTATAGTCTAGTCTATAGTCTAGTCTATAGTCTAGTCTATAGTCTAGTCTATAGTCTAGTCTATAGTCTAGTCTATAGTCTAGTCTATAGTCCTAGTCTATAGTCTAGTCTATAGTCTAGTCTATAGTCTAGTCTATAGTCTAGTCTATAGTCTAGTCCTATAGTCTAGTCTATAGTCTAGTCTATAGTCTAGTTATAGTCTAGTCTATAGTCTACTAGTCTTATAGTCTAGTCTATAGTCTAGTATAGTCTAGTCTATAGTCTAGTCTATAGTCTAGTCTATAGTCTAGTCTATAGTCTAGTCTATAGTCAAGTCTATAGTCAAGTCTATAGTCTAGTCTATAGTCTAGTCTATAGTCTAGTCTATAGTCTAGTCTGTAGTCTAGTCTATGTAGAAAATCGTCTATAGAATATTTAATGCTTTTAAAAAGTTTTCACACTTTTTTTTAAATTTTCATCTAACAATTAACAAAATCTTATTAATCAATTGTAATTTAATTTATAATCCATATTTATTTTATTTTAATGGATTTTTTTTTTCAATATTTATGAACACCTGCCTTAGGTCATTAAAAAATTCAAAATTTTTTTAAAACTTGTTCGTCCTTCTTATCTACTTAAACACTAATAATTTTTATTAAAAACATACACTTTCAATTAATATTAATCAAATAAAATTATAAATATATTTATTTAAGTAATTAGAAAAAAATTAAATAATTAAATTTGTTATCTACGCAAATATTGAACCATAATAAATTATTTAGCATTTGAAAATAATACAATATTTAACAAACAAATATAAATTAAATTTTATTTACACAGACAGATTTATTGCTGAAAGGAGGATAAAAAAAAAATTTAAATAAAAATTTATAATAATTATTTTCACATTAATTTCAAACATTGATATTAATGGTTTTTTTTTAAACATAAATAAAAAAAAATAAAAATAAATAAATAAAATAGACAATGTCATATTATTAATTATTACTGCATGATTTATTGTCATACAAATTGATTATAAATAATTAATTAACTCTATTTAAAGTATTAAAAAAAAGCTATAACAACAAAGGAAAAACATTTGAACAAGGATTATGTTGAATTAAATTTTTTTATTTTTCGTTATAATAGAAGAAAGAGCATATTAAAATGTTAAAATTAACAACGACACTGATGAATCCTTTTAATCCTGTGTCACTTTTATTTACAAAAACATTTAAATGGGAGAATTAAAACTGTGGTCCTGTTTTTTTGCAATCAAAGTCCTATTTACTGGAAATATTGATATAAAATGTTTGCTTACCTTAACGTTATTTACATTCTCTATATGGAGCTTAAACTACTTGTTCCCTTTTTAGATTAAAATAAACAAATAATTATGTCGTTGCAAAATTATTATATAAATGAGCTGCAAGCTGGCACTTGTGGCATTTGAGAGGCTTTGAAGTTATGCCAATTATTATTAATATTAAAATGTTTAATTAATTAAACAAAACTCACATTTTCCTTTCAAGCCTTTGAATTACATTAAAATTATTGAGAAAATGTATAGAAAAAAATCAACTGCGGAAAATACTTCATTCACTCAGAACTATAAAAGCAAAGTTGTACAAACTTGTTGGGTGCGAGAAAAAATAAGATTTATATAAAGAAAATTTTCTGTATAACTAATAATTTTCTATAGAAAATTTTCTGTATAACGGTTAATTTTCCATAGAAAATGTTGTGTATATTAGTTGATTTGCTGTAGTTCATTTTCTATACAACATGTTCTGTATAACAGTTTATTTCTAATATAAAATATCTGTATAACAATTCATTTTGAATACAAAATGTTTTGTATATTAGTTAATTTGCTGTAGTTCATTTTCTATAGAAAATTTTCTGTATATAAGATAATGTTCTATAAAAAATTTTGTATACAACAGTTCATTTCCTATAAAAAATTTTCTGTATATGGTTTTTCATAGAAAATTGTCTATATAATAGTTCATTTTGTATATAACACTTATTTTTCAAAGACAATTTTCTTTATAACAGTTAATTTCCTTTTAAAAGTCTTTCGTATAGCAGTTATTCTTCATAGAAAACTTTATGTATAACAGTTCATTTCCTATAAAAAATATTATGTTTAACAGTTCATTTTCCGTAAAAAATTTTCTGTATGACAGTTCATATTTTATAGAAAATTTTCTGTATAACATTTAATTTTCTAAAGAAAATTTTTTGTATAACAGTTCATTTCCAATAGACAATTTTGTGTATAATAGTTAATTTTATATATAACAGTTATTTTATATAGATAATTTTCTGTATAACAGTTAATATTCTATAGAAAATTTTCTGTATAACAATAATTTTGTATAAAAAATTTTCTGTATAACAGTTAATTTTCTATAGAGAACTTTCAGTATAACAGTTAATGTTCTATATAGTACTTCTGTATAACAGTTAATTTTCTATAGATAATTTTCTGTATAACAGTTAATTTTCTAAAGAAAATTTTCTGTATACCAATTAATTTTCTATAAAAAAATGTCTGTATAACACTTAATTTTCTATAGAAAATTTTTGTATAACATTTTTTATATAGAAAATGTTCTGTCATTTTTCTAAAGAAAATTTTCTATGGAAACATTTTCTGTATAACAGTTAATTTTCCATAAAAGAATTTCTGTATATCATAAAAAGTTGTCTGTATAACAGTTCATTTCTTATAGAAAATTTTTAATTTTCTATATAATTTTTTCCGTATTACAGTTAATTTTCTGTTGAAAATTTTCTGTATAACAGTTAGTTTTCTATAGAATAGACTTCTATTGGGCCTATTGTGCGCTTCTTTTCGTAGAAAATGTTGATCGAAAACCTTATATAGCCATCTATGAAAGGAGTAATCTTTCAATGTTCAAAAACATAGTTTCCTGGACCTAGTTTCTTAAATTTTCCCAATTGGTGTCCCTGAGAGAGGAAATAACTGAAATCACATCGCTCCTAAAATATTTGGATCTAATTTCGAGGAAAGCCTGGTAATAACATATATATCCACTACGTTCCATTATACGAACATATTCAATCTGAGGAGCATTCTAGTCCTGCTCTCCTTGGGGTCACTTTAATAGGATTTATTACTCCTACCCAAAGTATGAGCAAACGGTTTCTTTAGGTTGACTTTCCCACCATTCCATTCCTTTATAGCAGACACATTTGCTAACTCATTGCCGATTATCCGCCAGTAGTGTTGTACCCATATGATGCGCAGCTTACCACTGTATTAGTATCCATTAGGACTCTCTTGCAGTCTCTCTTTCTCTTTTTTAGATTTAAATTTATTAACTGATTTGAACCGATTACTTTCTAACTGTCCGAAAATATATTAACGTCCATATTCATTACTGTCCATTTTGTACTTTCCACACAATTTCCAATCAATGTCTCATAATTCCCGAAAATTTGTGTTTTGTGTTATGTTGTGTACTATATCCACTATATCCAGTTCTAATTGATGAAGCGATTTTCCATAAAACCCAAGAAATGACTTCCTTCCACCACCCAACACTCATACAATGACACTTTATATATAAACAATACACTTGTATTTTATAAGCAATAATAAAC